CGATATGCTAAGAACCATCATCTTTCGCAGACTATCCCCAACGTGTGAATCACCATAGCGAGAAGAAGAGGCTGGGTCCCGCTCTGGTTGTGGCTGCATCGATCAGATTCTCACACTCCGCCAGATTCTCAAGCTCTGCCATGTGTATCGAAAGCCAACGATTGTTGTCTTCCTGAATATCCGTGCTACCTTCCATTCTGTCGATAGGGCTGCATTGTGGTACTGGCTGTTGAAGAATGGCATTCGCAGGGAGTTCGTTTCCGAACTGCGCGCTATGTATAATCTGACCTTGAGTGGTCAGCAATTATGGCAAACCTTAGCCTTACTTTGTTGTGACTAGTAGGGTTGGATGAGGATGCCTTAGCTCCCAATTGCTCTTCCACTTTGTCAGTGAGGAGGTCCTCAAAAATGCCCAAGAAGACTTGTTGAACGCAGGTGTTGAGCTCCTCCAGGTAATTGGGTGACTGATTTGGTTTGCGCTGATGATATCATCTTGTTGGGTGACGGTCTGCAGTGCGTCCAATTTGCACTTAACCGCCTGGCGATTGAAGCGTCAAAATATGGCACGCATTTTTCACCATCCAAGTGCAAACCGCTTCTTCAAGACTGGCAGACGCCTTTAGTGGCACTTACCAACGAGGGTGGAACGCAGAAAGTTGTACAGAGTTATGTTTATCTGGGAAGTTGCGTCAATGCTGTTGGGGCCATGGGAGACGAAATTTCGATGCACACCTAGGGAACTCGTCTCGTCTTCTCCAAGCTGAGTCAATCATGGTGCCGCCATGATATCCGTCTCCCCATCAAGGTGCAAGTTTATAGTGCGACCGTCCGCGCTGTACTGTTGTGCGGTTGCAAGACTTGGTCTGTTCGCCCCGAGGACTGAGCCAACTGTCTGTTCATAAAAACCGTTGCTTAAGGTCTACTGCCCGTGCGTCGTGGCTGCACCATGCAACCAACGTGGAAGTCAAACAGCGTCCCTTGGGTGGAGAAAGCCACTTCTTCGAAGCGCATGTCTGGCTGCGCATAACAAGATAGCATGGACACATAGTGAGTTTGCCGGCTCATCGTCCTCCGCTTAGTGCCTTGATCGCGGTCGCTGGATAGGGTTGGAGCAGGCGGTCGGGTGCTCAGACAGCAACTTGAAGAAGCAGTGTGAAAAAGCTAAGAAAACAGATGGACTCGGCTGGTTCTTCCCGACAACCGGGATGCGGTCCCAAAGATGCTGAGTGCCACCGCTTGGAAACCAGTAGTAATGGCTAAAAACCGAACCCAGCGGTGGTCGCATGTCGTTAGTTGCTACAGCAACTCCCCATCCCATTAAAAAACATGAAAATAAAACCCAAAAACTGCAAGTGGGTAATAGGACAAAAAATAGCACCTTCCAATTCTGCCATCAATCTAATAATGTTTTCCAATTCCACTACGGTTCCTATGGCAAAATATCTGAATACAGATAGTGAACTATATATATATATATATATATATATATATATATATATATATATATATATATATATATATATATATATATATATATATATATATATGGCGGCATCCGGTTTCAGATTTGCCTCTCAATGGGGCCAGCCACAGGACGCCTGCACCTACTGAGGGACCATGTGTGCCTTGCGCTGCACCACCCACAGCTACAACCACACCCATAACGGGGTAAACCGGAAGGAATAAGACCGGGATGTATGTGGATGGGAGCCACGTTTCATTAAGGAAGCCGCCCCATACTCCTTCACAGGCAAACACAAGCACGCTGTATTTGGGGAATCAAGCGCACACAAGGCGGTGGCTGGATCGTAGTCCGCTCCACACTGAGTGCATGAAACCGCTTTGTGAGCCTCGCACGGCCATAAGGACCATGCACCCCGTCCCCACCAGCAACGACCAACTGTCTCCTGAAGCCAGTTTGGACGAGGTAGTGGGAAATAGACAGGTAGGCACCTTGTCAACATGCACATCAAGCGGAGGCGCACCGGGAATGTCAAACAACAGTGTCGGCGTGTCCGTCAGACTCGCCTACACATCGTGCTGCTTGAGGCCGTTCCAACTAGACCAGTCGATCTCTGAACGGTTGTTCAAGAGACAGTCAAAGTGTTTCGCCAGATCTGTATTATGTCTGCAGTCCGTGTGCAGGCAGCGCCTCAACTACCATCGATCAGGGTCCTCAGCGGCGCCAACCGCGGTCCATACACCGCCTTCAAGGAGTCAAAGAATTCCTCATGTTAGCTGCGTCCGGCGTAGCATTCCATCTGTTTCGCATCCACCATGCATATTTTATGCGACACAGCTCTCGAGTTAGTCGCATTCGAAGTTTGCGAAAATGACACTTCATTCCCAAGTCACCGTGGTCTGCCACATGTGCAGAAAATGCTGCATTCTTCTCCGACACCAATGCGCCAATCGTCGCATTGTTCTTACCAAACCAAGCAGGCCGCTTACAGTTTTGTGCGCACGATGGTATCCTCGGCAGCAGCTGTCACCTGGTCGCGAATGTGGTCACCCACTGTGGCTATGCCTTCCACATCACACAGGCGTGCAGCCATCGCGTTCTCCAGCTCAATACGCTTCGCCACAGTACCGAGAGAGAGAAGGTTAGATTAACGCCGGTTCACGGCGGAAGCGCAATATATAGACTTACGAAAATATTTGTACACTTTGGTCCGCACCAATTTGTGATCAGTGCCACACTCTGCTCCATGTAGTACACGTGTCATGCGCACTTCACGCATATCACGCTGACATGCCATGATATAGTCGAGCAGGTGAGAGTGACCACTCCGTGGGAGCATCCAAGTTGCTATATCACTGACAATCAGAGCAACCCGAGTGTTCGTGATTGTGAGTCCGTGGGTTGCACACAGTGTGAGCAGCCTGTCACCGTTCGCATTCGCTAAACCAATGGCATCTGTCTGCACCGATGGATCACGCGCAACGCGCGCGTTTAAACTATCCAACAAAAATAGTCGGTCGCTCCTCGGCACAGACCGTAGCACGGAAGACAACCCAGTGTAGAACTGATCACGCATGTCCTCAGGATAACACATGGTCGGACCGTACGTGCAAATAAAAGTTGCAAACTTACATCTTCCGAGTCGTAGGCGAACAGTCATCAGACGCGCGATTATGCCAGTTCGTACACCTGCTAGCTAAACATTTAGGTGATCAGATATTGCAAATCCGACCCCAAGTTCAAGTGGTGCTGAGGTGGCTTTGCCCACCCAGTAGAACGTACAGCCAGCATCTGCTTCAAGCAACTTACCTTGCTTAGCGAGCCGGGTCTCGCTGAGCGCCGCAATAGCGATGCTGTGGCGTGCCAGTTCCATTGAGTCTAGTGCAGTGCGTGGCTCGGGACGTCAATTTATATTCCGGTAGAGCAACGTGCGCACGTTCCAGCACCCGACGATGAGCGCTCTGCGCGGAGGCAAACAAATTGCATTGGCAAAGAGTCGTAGGGGAGGTGACGTCCGGGATTGGAAGAAGTAGAGGGTTAGGTGAAACGGGGACAGACAGAGTATTGCAGGGGAAGAAGAAAGAAGGAAGACGATAGCAGTAGCGTGTTTTCGCTTATCCGTCCCGCAGTATACAGCAGATAAGGCGATTCACTTAAAGCACAAGTTGCTGACTGCTTTGCGCGCAGGCACACGATTGCATTGGTGAACAATCGCACGCGAGGTGGCGGTTGTGTTTCGGAGGTTTGTTTGAGGGACTCCGCCCGGAGCTTTTCGCGCCCAGGTGGCGTTCTTGTCAGCTTACAGGCCCCCTTTTGGAGTGTGCCCGAAAGTAAGTCCGGTCACATAGCGTCCACTTTCTGTTCAGATTCTTCTCATGGATCTCCAGGGATTCACTGACTTTTCAAATACCTAGTGCCTAGGTGGTGATGATAGACGGTATCACAAGCAAACGCGGCCAAACTCGGTTGTCTCGGAGAGGAATTGCGAATGCGTAGTTGGCAGGACATCACGGTAGGCATACTAAACTACGGGACGTAACATCTTCCGGTCCCCAGCTGAAGAGTGCAATTATTCCGAACTTAGAAAGAAGCCATACAGCAGCAGGAGCGTACCAGTCCAGAAAAATTAGAGAAAAGCAGGTGAAGCTGACCTTCCTCCACTTGGACATCTAAACGAATACAGTATGTAAGGTGATCTCTGAGTAAATAACAAAACATGATGCGGAGGGAGAACAATTGTCGGTGTATGCAATGTGGCTGTGTAAGTGATGGTGTACACCCAAAACTAACAAGCTCACATATTATAACAAGTGTCGGATAAAGAATTCCAGGGAGCGACAAAGCTTGATCGTTGTTCACAGAACGAGGTATCTACCCAAATTGACGGCCAGTATCTCAACTGTATTATGTGGATTGATCGATGATGCATGAGCCGAACACAGAGACAGCAATGCCATGCAGTGAAGTTTAATAAAACAATGTAAAAGTTGTCATTAGTACACCAGTACTTTGAACTACTGTTTCGCTAATATACAACCGCAAATGGTTACACACAGGCTGTGATGTTGTTCAAATCTAGGCGAAAGTAAGGAGTTGGAATAGTGAAGCACAGAAAAAGCAAGGTCGAGTTGAGGCGCAGTGTTATGGTAGTTAAGAACCACATGAAGGTCAGGAAGCACCATCGAAAAGTTAACGTATACTTGAGGTAATACCGACGGGTACAATGACTAACGTCAAGGGATACAGAATGATTGGTGGGTGGCGTTATGAACAACGACAGTAAAGTCGCTGCTGATTTTAAGTCCAGGAACCATACATAAATAAATTATACGAAGGCTCAACCCATCATGAAAAGACCTAGTAAAGCTGATCGAATCTCTCAGTGTAGCAAGACAAAGACAGTGATGCACGCAGTTCCCTTGCTGTGCTCTAGATGTTCCCAAAAACTCAGGCGTAAACATAGGCGAATAAGAAACTATGGAGTGATTAAAAGTCAGTTCGGAAACAGCAACAATAACATGATAAACTATGGGCTCACCAATGATTGAAGTTGATTGAATAGCTCCAATGGTCTTCGATATGCCAACAGAAGCTTGAGAACACCATACCCACATAACACCAAGGAATCTTCATGCCGTCAATATTGCCCTTGATGAAACGAAGAATGGATCTGCAAAAGCATGTGAATATAAACACATAAGATAAATAAACTGAAAAACCAAATGCAATACACATGGGAGGTTTCATGGTTAGAGACTATTGTTAAAACAATAAAAAGATGAAGAAGTGGTGAAATCCGGTGTTAAATGACGGAAAAGTAGATGTGTCACAACGGAAATGGATATGGTAATAAGAAAGATGAAAGTTGCGGATCAGACATTAAAAATGGTCTATCTCATAAACATAAGACGGACAGCGGGGTAGGGGCAGCGAACAATCATATCTAACAATATCTGGTGTATAAGGATAGGAAACGGAGTTGAGTAATGAGGTAGTCACTGGTGACGCGAGTCTGCCGCATTTGGGCAAGCTGGTGTTGGAACCGCCCTCAGTACCAGAGCCGAGACTGCTCTGATTGACTGGATTCCGATCAATAGTCGCCTTTGTGCGATGAGGCTCCATGGCTTTTGCAAAGTTAGCAGACGTCGAGTCGAAAAGCGTGCTCCCTTCGTCAACTCTGCCTACGCGCGCAATGACTGTAGCTCAACCACAGTCAAAGACCAGTCCTAAAAGAACCTTCATGAGCTGCTTCTTAAGGCTCCTAAAACAGACATTGTTTTGGCAGGAGACTTTAACCCGCGTGTCGGTCGTCTGCTACCATGTGAGCGCCATCTCGGGGGACCGCATGGATATGATGTTCGCTCAGACAGTGGAGAAAGTGTGCACAATCTGTGTGCTGATCATTAGCTTTCCTCTCCAGCATGAGCTTCCGTCATCCTGGACGCCAGTACGCCACTTGACGCCCCATCAACTCAGCGTTGGTGACAGATTGACCACATAGCCATAAATTGCAGGTGGCGCGGCGGCGTACGTGACTGCCGATAATTTTGTTCAACATGCCACGATACCGATCATGCACTGGTATGTACAACCGTTTGCATGTGTTTGGTGGTTCACCTAGGTCCAAACACACCCGACTGAACATCCACAAGCTGGAGGACCCAATGGTGAAGAAGTATCAACAAAGGGTTCGTGAAAATCTCGCTCTCTCTCCCAATCTGGATGTTGATCAACACTGGTCAAGTCTGCAACAAGCCTTGCTGTCGGCCGGTTTGTCCAGCTGTGGCCTCACTCGCTCCACTCCCAAAAGCTGGATCTCGGGAAGATCCTCGGAATTGCTGGATCACCGACGGGCGGTGCCTGCTGGTGCAGAGTACAACGAACACCGCCGATCTATTACGTAACAGCTGAAAACAAGCCTTCGCTCTGATCGTGAATCTTGTTGGTCAAAACAAGCGGATGAGATGGAAGACGCTGCATCAGCTGACAACTTCCGCCATCTAGTTTGCATCATCAGGGCCACCGCTTGCAATCCCCACGCTATCAGTCAGAGGATTTGTGAATCAGACGGCACGAAGATCATCAACGTTCACAGGCGACTAAGTCGCTAGGTAGAGCATGTCGATCTTCAATTCAACCACCCAACACAGCCCGCGTTGGCACCTCCAGCTTCAATGGATGATGCTTGGCCTGTCTCCATAGGCCCCCAACTGAAGCAGAGATTCGAAATGAAATCCAATCTTGGAAACGCCACAAGGCTCCTGGTCCCGGCAGCCTACCATCGGCTCTATTCAAAGATGGCGCCAGTGTACCTGTCAGAGAAATCCTATCGCTGTTCAAGAAAGTTTGGAATGAGGAGTAGGTTCCGAAGTCATGCGGAGAATAGATCATTATTCCGATACACAAGAAAGGCTCCCGCGATGATTGTCCCAACTACCGCGGAATCTCGTTAACCTCTGTGTCGTCCAAAATCTTCGTGTCGGTCCTACTTCGCAGGCTTTCAACGTTTAGAGATGAGTTTTACCGAGAAGAACAAGCCGGATTTCATCCAGGCCGCGGCTGCATTGACCAAATATTCACGCTTCGCCAACTTCTCGAAGTTCGTCACATCCACCGGCGGCCAACAACCGTAGTGTACTTAAACATCCGAGCGGTATTTAATTCAACGGATAGATCTGCGTTGTGGAACTGTTTACTGAAGAAAGGTGTTCCCGACAAGTTTGTAACATCCGGAGAGAACTTTACAGTTACATGTCAGGTAAAGTCAGGGCTTACGGCAAGCTCTCTTTTTCGTTTGTTGTGACCAGCGGAGACGTTGTTCAAAGAGCACTGGAAGGTGTCCAGAACGGCGGTATTGAGCTTCTCCCTGGAGACGGACTCACGGACTTGGACTACGCCGATGATATCGCCTTACTGGGGGACGACCCACAAGCCATCCAGAGCGCTTTGGACCGCTTGGCGATGGAGGCGTCTAAGTACAGCTTATGCTTCACTCCGGGAAAATGTAGAACGCTGCTCCAGGACTAGCAGGCGCCCGAACCCGCGCATACCAATGCTGGGCATGTCCTGGAGCAAGTCCCTTGCTTTACTTACCTAGAGAGTTGAATCACGTCTGGTGGCGGTGCTGGAGATGAAGTCGCACAACGGATTGCAAAGGCCCGCCTTGCATTCATCAAACTGAGACACCTATGGCGTCATCGTGATGTCAGTCTCAAGCTCAAGAGCAGGGTGTACAATGCTTCCGTCCTTGTAGTACTCATGTACGGCTGTGAGACGGCCTATTCGTTTAATAAGAGTATATAAAAATAAATGAATCGCCAGCTGCACACCGAAACGGCGCTTCGCTGCTACGCGACCACCACCAGTCGCGCGTGGGCTGAGTATACTGTGAGGACGAACGCCCCTACGCGGATTCCAACCGGTGACCTTAGGATTGCAAACCAGACAGGTATACCACTCGGCCACCGGCAGATATGAAGCGGCTGTCAGCCTTCGACAATCGTTGTCTACGAAAGACTGCTAGGGTGTGGTGGCAACACCACGCAAGAAACGCAGAGGTCCGAGACCGAGTGCTTGGAGCAAGTAGTGCCAGTCCTCAGAACCTTGTTCTCCAACATCGCATGCAATGGCTCAGGCACGTTTTGCGCATGCCAACCCATCGCCTTGCACGTCGAGGGATATTTTTACTCCTGGGGAGCAACTGGAAAAAGTGCCGCAGTGGACAGCCAATGACGTGGAGAAGGAGCGTAAAAAAGGCAAACTCAAATTTGGGGGCAGACCGCCCAGCCCGACTTCCAGGATGGGGACCAGGCGATGCTGAATCTCAGTAGTTTAAAACAATGTATGTCATAGCCCGCAACAGATATTAATAGCGACAATGTTATTCTGCAATCATGGTTGGCGGGATCCGGTTTCGGATTTGCATGTTACTGTGGCCAGCCACAAGACGTCTACGCTTACAAAGGGACCATGGGTAGCTTGCGTTGCACCACCCACAGCTCCATCCACACACCCATATCCAGTGTAAACCCAAAGGAATAAGACCGGGAGGCATGCGGATGGGAACCACGTTTCATCAACGGAGCCGGCCCACACTCCTTCACCGGCAAACACAAGCACACTGTATTTAGGGAATCAAGCGCACACAAGGCGGTGGCTGGACCGTTGTCCGCTCCACACTGAGTGCATGGAACCGCTCTTTGAGCCTAGCACGGCCACAAGAACCGTGCACCCCGTCCCCTCCAGCAACGACCAACTGTCTCCTGGAGCCAGTATGAACGATGTAGTGGGTAATAGACAGGTAGGCACCTTGTAAACATACACATCAAACGCAACCACACCGGGGATATCAAACAACAGCCATTCACTTGAAACGACAAGCTGAAATAAAATAAATCCAACAATGCATACAGATACGGTGGCAGAACTCTTCGCTAAATTACCATATGAAGTAATTTGGTTAGCAACAAATCCGTGATAGGTAAGACATGTCCACAAGTTACTTAAAATGCTACAAACGCAACAAAATTACCGAAGATAAGCGCAATTAATGTAAGCAACGTGGCCAGTTAATAGAACATTATTCAGGGAGGCAGAACAAACCAAATAAAGTGGAATGAAATTTATCCAGCTTAAAAAGACCTAGTTTAAGTGTAAGTTGGTTTAGCCCAACTGCGGTGAAGAAACATTAAGAATGCAACATCAGCCTCAGCATGGAGCACTCCTGACATTATATCCCCCCTTAATATACACACAAAACGCACAAAACAAAAGACTCAAAATGGCGTAGGTGAAACCAAAAAAATTGTTTTTCATTTATCATGGCAGTTCGTGTTTTCATCTCCACTTTTTTCTTCCAGCATGGTTTTGATGGCACAACGTCTGTTAACAGAAAGTGAATGTATGCGCTGAGGCTGTTGTTGCGTTTATGATGCTCCACATAAATATTCTAAATAGGAACAAAACGAATTGGTAGAGTGCAGTGTCTTGAACCAGAAGCTAGAAAAATGGTCTTTCCATCCCAAGAAACAATAGTAGGAAATATTTTCCACGGGAAATCAAAAGGAGAACAAAGCAACAGAATGAGTCAATGGCGACAATGAAATAAAACAGCCCTGAACTCACCGATCTAATAGGGGCAATATATTCAAATTCCAAGGACTAACAGCGTACATCTTAGCGTCTTCCAACTGTTGCACAGTGCCAACCAAATTTTGGAGACGGTCAGCAGTGGGAAAACCGGATCCCTGAGAACTTGAATGAATATCAGCACCATACTCGACCACAACATCGTCGTTGTACTCTTGTAAGATGCGCCAAAATTCTTGCTCCACAACAGAACATGGAACCTCCTATACAAAAATCGAAAGAAAAAGGGAGCTGAACGGAAGTATAAGGCAAGCATACTACTTAGCCATATTGAAAGGATGAAAAAACAATCAGCTGTAGATGGACAAGAACAGTAAAGGTGATATTACTCTGAAAGTAGACCATAAAATTGGCGTCAGAAACCGCGCACGAAGATAAGGATAATCATCGCTGACGGCCATGATAAAAAGTTAATATCAGCAGAGTTTGGCATGTCCATTAAGATCTAGAATCGGTGAAGTTGAAAAACCATGGCATATCGAAACTCACATCGGCAAATTAATACAAATACAGAACGGCAAAACAAAAAACCAAACAGATAAAATAAGTAAAAAATCGTCAAGTGGGTGGATTCGCCAAAATACAACCAAAAGCCCAATTTCCATGTAAGCTGGACGGGCTCCGTTGCCAAGTCACTATCAAGTTTCACTAATGGCACGTACAATCAGGCAAAACCGCAGCAAAAAACAAAGTGGAAGGTATAAATCAATATCGTACTCAAAGAAAAGCGGGCGACAGAAATTAGAAGAGTTCAGTAAAAGCGCCAAATAATGGTTCCATAATTGCAGAGCTAAGCAGCACAATGGTCAGCACAGCATCGTCGATCAACAATAAGCAGCAAAAAATTGCTAAACAATCAAACAATAACAACAACGACGACAAAAACAACAGTATATCAGCTATTTGACCTAATGCTTCGCTGCCATACAACCATGAGGACCTAGGAAATAAAGGATAATAAGAGGGAGAGAAGGGGGACTTACCTGAAAACCTTAATTCCCTAAGTAAATATTCAAGGTTAAGGAGCCTACACCTTGTGTAGACAACATACCGTCACAAACACCTGGCTATCGTGCAAAGATAAGGCAGCATCAGCGAGACAGCTTACTTGCGGCTGTCGCTGCCCCACGTCATAATCAGCCATTACCTCGCAGATAGCACAATACTCCCATAAAACAGGCAGTCCGATTAGGAGACGGCAGCAGACGCGCCACTGGTGTCTACTGCGAGCAATGTCCTGTAAAGTCTCGAGACAAGCACAAGGCGAGTCATGCGGACTCCAGCCCGGAAGGCGAGAAGGACCAACGGCACCCAGCGTGGTCGTCAGTGACTTCATTTCCTGATGCCAAGTCAACTCTTGTCACCCTACATCTGGCAGACAAAACAGGGCCCTCCTAGGTAAGCAGTGACCAGGCATACGTAGCACGTGCCAGAGCCAAAGCAACTTAGTCACTGCTATCTGTCGTTCTAAAGAACTAGCATGATTGTCACTACCTAGTACTCGCCTACGCATATCATCATTGCGGACACGCTGGTGCCATCTGACTCCAGCAATGCTCCGCAGACAAAGACCATCAAAGACTTGAAGCCGCCTCAGATCTTCAGACCGAAGGGGCCAAGTCTCACTAACATAGAGCAGAATGGCAATCACTGTGGCCTTGTATACACGGCCTTTCAGAGAGAAAGAAACTTCCTTCTGACTCCAGTGGTGCTGCAGGTTCAAGAAGGCAGCTCTGATCTTTGTAATGCGTGAGCTGACGTCAGTTTCTATGCGCTCATCGTTGCTGATGCAGCTGCCAAAGTAAGTGAGTCGATCAGCCACCTCGAGTTTCTCGTTACCAAGGGTCATAGGGACATCAAATGGCTGGTGGTCCTACAGTAACACTTTGCCGTTTGAAAGTGCGAAGCTCATGCCAAATAACGTGACCACTCTAGACAGGCTATTCAGGGTTGATTGTGCCGCCGCAACATCGTAAAAAAGTAAAACGATGTCGTCCGCATAACCAAGATTAACTAGCCTTTCACCAGGCAGCACCTCAAACTTTACATCTTGAAATTCCGTAATGGAACACTTCATGATGGAGTCCACGGCGAAATTGAACAAAAATGGAGAAATCGGACAATCTTGACGAACGTCACTTGTGGTCGGAAAGCTATGCAACAGATCACCGTAGACCCTGACGCAGCCTGTAGTGTTCGAGTATAGAGCACGAAAGACGTTCACATATTCCGTGGGAACAACTTTCCGCGCAAGTATTTCGAACAGAATCGATAGACCGACTGAATAGAACGCACTCTAGAAATCGCGGAACACAGCTATTGTCGGTCTGTGTTATGCGTGGCGGCGCTCTAACAACTGCCGCAGAGTGAATATATGGTCTATACAGCCACGTTCTGGGCGGAAACCTGCCTGCTCTATCCTAATCCGAGATTACCGTTCCGGTTCCATGTAAACAGAGCCAGCTCCAAAGCGATAACAAACCGTCTGACCAACACCGGACAAAAACAATAAGCGAGCTGCTATCACAAGTCCAAAAGACGTACCATGGGAGCAGTTCATTTGTTTGATAGAGGAAGAGGCGGTGTGCAAAATAGCAGATTCAAACCGTTGCGTCTAAGCAATATGGTTGGCGGCATCCGGATCCGGATTTGCCTGTTAATGCGGCCTCCACGTGGACAGACACAGGACGTCTGCGCCTACAGATGGACCATGGGTGGTTTGCGCTGCACCATGCACACACCCAATATCCGGTTTAAACCTGAAGGAATAAGATCGGGAAGCATGTGGATGGTGTTGCGTGCATGGGTTCGCCAGCCGCGTCAAAAGAATAGCTCGCCCCTACTGCATACAAACGCTGTATTTTCAACTCTGAAGCAAACTACAACTGCTGGAGTGTTTAAACACTCATCTGCCTACTCCATCGACCGCCTGATCGACCACACTGCACCAGGCGATTGCCCTCGTCCCTGTTAAAGCCACCAGCACAAATGGGAGCCACTTTGCATTAACGGAGCCAGCCCACACTCATTCACTGGCAAACATGAACAATGTGGTTGGGAATCAATCACACACAAGGGGTGGCTGGACCGGAGTTCGCTCCACACTGAGCCTAACACGGTCACGAGGACCGTACACCCCGTCCCCTTTAGTAAAAACGAACTATCTCTTGCAGCCAGTATGGAAGATGTAGGGGGTACAATATAGGTAGGCACATTGTCAACATGCACACCAAGCGCAGTCACACCAGGGATCTGAAGCAACAACCGAGCACACGAAATATAATGTCGAATAAAATAGATCGAATACACCGTACGACTATACCGCTAAATAAGCATATGAAGTAAATGGATTATCAAAATAGCCGTGATAGGTTCAGGATAACGGAAAAAGGGACAAAGATACATATGGAAAAATGAGAAAAATTAAGCCAAGTTAACCATCTTTAGTTTAAGCAAAATGTGCAAGTTGATGGATTATTCAGATACACATGAAAATGAGGTACCAAAATAACACTAAGGAACCAAAGCAAACATCAGAAACACGAATGTCAGCGCGCAAGCACGTGGTTAGTAAGTCGAATGCAGCGTATCAACCAAGGCTGTGCCGTTCCGCCTACCATTCTCAGCAGGACTCGTCTTTATTTCAAAGCTGGCCCCCAGCGGACTCTCTCTCGTGGCTCACTAGGCCTGCCTGACCCAGGCACTCGCGACCGCATGTGCTACAGCATCATGCGCGCCATGTCCATGGAGTACAATCCATCGGCGCTTGCCGCTTCCGTAACTGCCACTTCTGCTCAGCATGCATGAGGGCTTTCGCCTGCAGCTCGACAACTGCCTTCGTGATTAGATCGCACCGTTCACGTCGATCAACCGTCTGCAATGCCCATGATCAGCAATCAACATTAGAACGTGACAGGCTCTTGGTAACATAAGATCGGTTTTCCCACTGCTATTTCCCAGAACTCAGCTGACCTTAAGGTAGCTGTTTCCGTAGCCGGGTAGATTCCATAGGGCGAATATGCCCAAACCACCTCAAGTGGCAAAGGAGAATTATGTGGCCCACTGCATAGATCCAATGAGTCGAAGCACCTCTGTGTCCGCAACTCGGTCATTCCAGATGACGCGCAAAGTGCGGCGCGGACATAGCTGACAGAAACGCTCGATTCGAAATAAATGACAATATGCGTAGCTCGGGGTGTGGATGCGGATTTTGAGCGGTTCTCCGAGCTGAGTGATTATTGTGCAGACGTTTCCTTGCCTGACTAGGTAACATCATCAGTGCGGTTTCAGGGGCCTGGTTCGCAGTGCCTCGTAAGCGACTTCAATGTCCAAGTGCTTATTGATCGAGTTCTGCTTTGAATGCCAGGCTTCAATGAACTCACGTGCTTGCCGGCTTTTAGCCCTTCCGAGGATACTGGTATGCTCTATGTCGAATTCATGGTTCTCAGCATCCGTGTGCACTGACATCAGGGAGTTCTGATCGCGGCGACGTATGGCTAGGCTGTGTTCGTTTAGCCTAGTGCCAAGCATTCTCCCAGTCTGTCCCACGTAATACTTGTCGCTCGATATCGGACGTATTTCCGATAATGCGTAAAGGATTCGCTGCCGTAAAGAAGAACGAACAGTACCATACAAGCAGATTCGTCCCAACAGTGACCTGGTTGTTTTTCCAGAACAGGCATTTCAGCTTGTCAAAAGCAGCAGCCGTCTTCGATAACTGGCTGCGCAACACGCTCGTCAGCTGCTGGTCGGTTGTAACGAGGCTACCAAGGTAAAAAAAAAAAGGAATCTCGATGTCGTTCCCACATTTTGTCGGCAATCTCGATGGGGGCAGACAAAGATCTCCAATCCGGGTGAAGGCTGACAGAGACAGACAGTTTTCAATGTGTTAACAGTGGGCACGAATTTGGCCGCTGTAGAAGCCAGAGCACTAGCTATGTGCTGCAACTCATATGCGCAGTGTAAAAACAACGCACAGTCATCGGCGAACAGCAACATACGGATAGTTGTCCCACAGACTAGGGTTCTCGAACTGAAACGACGGATGTTCAGGAACGCACCATCAATACGGCGCTCCACACGAACACCGCAGGCACAAGCCGCAGCAAAACTACAAGACAACATGGCACGCAGATAAATGGTAAACAGCGTAGGAGCTCACATACAGCCTTGCCTCCCAACATTGACAACTGCAAACTCATCC